ATATTATAAGAATATGGTATGCGGAGCAGTTACTTTTAAGTCAAAGCATGTCGGACAATCATATAGCTTAATGTGAAGTGGATGACGGAAAGTTTTGGCTTAAAATTTCCCAGAGTGAGCTTCGCTTCGCTCAGCAAAAACTGCGTGGCGGGCGCTGGGCCATGTGCGATGAGGAGGGGGGAGGGGGGGGGTGCTGTTCATGCGTGCATAAAAATAAAAATAGTAAAATAAAGCGTTCGTCTCAGCCGTGGATGCGGGGGGAGGCGGTGGTGGCAGGTGTCGCTTGGCTCGGCGTGGGGACGCTACCCGGGAGGGAATGCCAAACGCTGGGACTCGGCACTCGTAGGTCCCCCACCCCCAGGCCTGGCGCACACCTACGCCGATCCAGCTACTTCCACAGATGATTCCTCCGGGCTGCCCAGCTCAGTGCGGGCGTGGCGGGGGACCAAACCGCCGGGCCTTGGTGGTGCGAGAGGGAATACCAAGCGGGTTGTTACCACTACTCGGGGGTAGCGTGGCCTCCTGGCGTGCCACTCTAGGTCAGTTTGCACTACGCATTGCACTGATCGTTGCACTTTCACTACACCACTACAAAGCACAACACTGGGTTACGGAGCACTACAAGCCTTGGGCAACAACACGCTACACCAAGGGACACAGAGCCGAGCACTACACTGCACTGCACTACAGTTCACTACTATGCACTACAATGCACTGCGATGCACTATTTGCACTTGTTTCGCACTGTTTTAGTCCTTGGCCGGCCCCGGCTTCGACTATGCGGCCGGGTTCAGCCGGGCGTGGCCTCGCTCGCTCGGGTCCAGCCAGGACCCGAAGGAGCCCCCGAGCACGGCCGAGCGAAGCCGAACAGGGTCCCAGCCTGTCAGCGGCGCGTTGACATGCGCGGTTGTAAATGCACCACAGCGGGGTCCAGGATGCGTATTGCGAAGTCTGTCGAGCAGCCGATGGCCTCCCGGTGACGGCGGCTTGACATAAGCCGAACCGAGCCGACCATATTTATGATCTAGCCCCAAACCCGACGCAGCCCCCTTTTCCGCTAAACTTTGTCCGAAAGTATTGTTTAGTTTGCTGAGCACAGAGTTTGGTTTTTCATGTTGCCTACTTTAATTTTTCCATTTACAGTTGCCCGACATAGCTATTTTCTTCCCTGCTGGAGGTTCATTCGATCAAATAATACACTTTGCTCAGCTAGGTGACCGAAAATGTAAATATGATTAGAAAATACATAGTTCATAACCTACACCTTCCCAAAGCAGTTCCCAATTTTCTAATTTTAATCTTCCCAATTGCAGGGTCTGGCTTCCGCAAGTACAATTATGGAGCCACCAAAAATCGATTAAGATACGGACAAGATACGCCGCCCAACTATCAGCTTTCTCATATTGGGACGCCAATTTATATGTACAATGGCGATGATGACAGCTGGTGTACATCTGAGGTAAATTAAGTGGTGGCTTTACAGCAATCAGGTTTGATTTTAACACCACCCATCTGCTTTGAAAAAGCAATCTAGTGGGCGCAAACTACCTCCCTGCAAGTCTAGTTAAATAACGAAGTGACAGTTATAACCAACAAAATATAAAAAATTTATAGCTTACACCGCAAAACTAAACCTACGCTTTCAAATTAGCCCTACACGTATAAAATAATTTGAAATTTGAAGACTAAAATAACAGAGTTTTCAGAATTGCAATAAAATTTCATGATTTGACTAAAAATTCAGAATTATTATGATATTTCAACACAAATGAATAAATGTGAGGAATCGGGCAATGGGATAATGAATAATGTCGAGGTCGTGAAGTTCTGTACCCAAACGATATGCTAGAAAACAATGGCTTCCACTGAAGCTAAATAAATATAGGTTTTAATTGAGAAACGATATTTGTCGTACGACGGTAAATTGGCCATCGACCGACAATTAATGGAAGTAGTATCACTTCGGGATTTGCCTACGATTACAGTTTCGATACCGTATGACAGTCTTATATGGGCCATGCGGGTTGAAGTGGAGCACCCTCATTTTCTCTGTTTCGCTTTGCTCGACTCGTACTACGACTTAGTTGTGTTCCTGACAAAGTTGGGCGACAACTCAGTGGTTGTGCAAGTGTAGCAGAAGTTTAACATAGGTATAAAGTAGTCCGGCAGGAGATTTGGAGAAGACTCGTTCGAAGAACAAAAGCCTACTGCGCATGAGCAAGCTAGGGTGGGGGTGCCTGGGCCAGTGTGGGCGGCGGCACACGTCGTGATGTACAACCACGGTTTCTAAGAACCGCAGTCCTACCGACGGGTCTCGAGCGCTCCTCGGCCAGCACTCGAGAATCCCAACCGTCCCATCGCCACAGGACTCGATGGCGCAGCGGGTTCAAACTTCGTGGGTACTTACTTGGATGTATTCCGCACCTTTTAAGAGATAGCCGTTTCCCGAATGACCCTTAGATTGACCCCTGGAGGTCAGAAAGTGGTGTTTTAGCCCTGAAGATCTCACTTTAGCCCCTCTGCAGGGGCCTAAGGGCCTCCGATGGTTCCAAATCGACCCTGCAGCTAGTTGTAGGATATCTTGAAGTACAATAATCCATCTCGACTTTTAAGATCCCAGATTTTCACTCCACCCTAGTTTGCACTTGGTAAATCAGGTCCGATTTCATTCGGATTTTTGTCGCTGAACTCTTAAAGCCAAGGCGCACCGAAAAATCGACTTCTCCACCGAATCTACTTTTTTTTTTGAAACACCCTTACCCATGGGTAGGACTGCGGCCCCAGGAACAGTGGCTGATTAGCCGCCCCCCACCACCGTAGCCCGCGCATGCGCAATAGGCTTTTGCTGTTGCCATAAGTCTTCACTAATCCTGCCACCGGAATTCTCTAAGAGGGTGGTACATATTAGTTTGTTTTACGGTATCTGTCTTTGCTTTCTAATTTGTTTTTCGACACTGTCTTGACAATCGCTTGACAGTTCCATCATACTACGGCACAATTCTAGAGAGTATTATTGTTAATCAATAATCTATCTATGATGAAAGATTGTCAACTTAACCATTGTTTCATATTCATCCATTTCAGCCAAGTTAAAAAGTAAACTAAAATACACTAGAACCCCCCCTTCCCCCTTCTTGCAGCCAGCGTCGTTAATTTGTGGTGCTTGTTTACAGGATATGATGTTATTAAAAAATAGCCTTCGAAACGTGGAGAAATTTTACTTCTCACCTCGAAAGGACTTCAAACACCGTGATTTTGTTCTCTCAGATACAGCGTATGAAGATGTATGGAAAGAAGTACTCACCGACTTACAACTATTCCTGAACAAATGAAGTTGTAATCCAAACGCTTTCTGTTTACCTGTGAATTAAACAAGATTTATCTTGAAAATATTCTCCTCTACACTGCAAAAAATTATGACATGAAAAATGACAACATCGACCGCTAATTGGCTGAGCGATTAGCGAAGCCTATTATTCCAGTGATGATCAACAAGTTTCGCGTCTGTCTGTGTCTGTTTGTCTGGTATCACGATCACTCGAGAACGAATTGAGCCAGCGACCTGGGATTTTAAGGGCCGTTTTGTGTCATAAAAAGACAGATCGAGTTCGAAGGAGAGCAGAGAAAAATTTTATTAAAAAAAAAACAAAAAAAAAACACAGGTCTCATATAGAACGTGTTTTAAAAATATTTTTTACTACAAATGTTAATTTACAAACAGCGCACAAACTCTGACTGCAGGTACAAACAGGACGGGCATTTAGATTGGCTCCACCTGGGACCAAAGAGCCATGGAGTGGTCCTGAAAGCATTCAGGGAAATGTGACCTCTTGGCTTGTCCCATTGGATAATTAAAATATAATAAAAGAAGGTTTTTCCCATCTCGATTAACATTTGTTCGACGCCTACTCTTCTACCGAAAAGTGCTTTTCGCAAATGTCATAGGTGGCAATTTGTGCGCGCGGAATAATGCACATGATCAGACAAAATTTAGAATAATTTCATGATTTTTTTTAACAAATATAAACACGTACATAGCAATGCATAAAAGTTGATTGGCTGAGCGATTAGCGAATACTATTAACACCAGAAGGACCGGAGGGGACAAAATGACCCCTTTTGATTTTTAATTGCCAAAGGAACAACGAATTATTTTTTTGAGCGGTCATCACTTTCCGACTTCTTATGTATCAGCGAAAGACGATTGGACGCATAATAGGAGGTCTCTGTGACAAGAACTTTCGAAGATATTACAACCTATACTTAGAAGGCCCGAGGGGGTCATTTTGACCCCTTCTCGAGATTTTATAAGTGTAAACTGGCGAGGACTTACTTTTACATCATAAGGCTGACCGTTTTTGTTATGTACGGTGGCTTATGACTTTTGGTCGGCCATGTGACACTTTTTAACTCCTTCATTCGGGGAAGGTAGGCAACACGCACGTCACAAGAACCCGTTTCTAAATTACAACACATCCAAGGCTTTAGTGGTAGTTGCGTCACCGGACTCGTGTTCTGGTGGCAAAGGGGGACGTCTAGCACAAAGTACGGATGGTTTTGCAAATGCCAAAACTGCCACGCACATTGTTGTCAGTGCCAAATTAGTAAAACATAAAATGTTTGTGTGTGAATCACACTCCCGCTTTTAGAGAGCTTATGTGTTCTTAAGATCACGTACTTATAAATGTGTACTAAGTCGGATATTAATTTTTAAGTTAAAAAATGCCTTAAATGATGCGCATTATGACATGAAAAATGACAACATCGACCCTGAGCAGAAGATAAGCACCTCCCACCAGTACGTCCTGAGTGGAAGGTGATTGTCACATCCCGGAAGGAACGTCCCCAGGAGGAACTTTCAGGACCTGACCATCATTTTATGTAAAACAATATGACAATATTTGAAAGTCAACTGAGGTTCGATGAGTTTCTTATTTGAACCTTAATTATATTCATCCAGAAGGTCCCGGATACCTCGGTCAAGGTTGATAGAGTTCACAAAAATTATTTATGGCAGTCATGTGATGTATCACTTGATCACAAGTATACATCACATTTGGCGAGGGGTCTATAAGAGAGGTATGCGGATGATCCCCGAGATTTAAATTAGACATCACATAAAATCTGAAATTGCGCATGCAAGTCAACATTGGTAGTGCAATTCGGCTTCATGCCCCTTGCTTTAAACGCGAATAACGTAACTTTTCTAAATACTTATTATTTCGTACATTTTAACGCAAAAACGAAAAAACTTTCGAGGATCGCGTCGCTATCGCTATCTGTCGGCAAAATATAGCACGGCACACTGCTGCCACTGGCACTGGCATACCAAGGACCTCCCGCAACAGATGTATACAGGATGTCCATCATCCTGCTAGTCTCCCTAACCATGATATCCCGAGCAGGTTCTATGTCTACGTCCCCCACCATCTTCCCATAGTGGAGGGGGCGCCGCTCGGCTAATAGCGATCCCTTTTATTCTTCCGTGGAGTCTTCTCCGCGCTCCCGCCGGAATAGTCTATACTCGTTCCGCTACCACTGAGTAGGTGCAGGAGGTGGTAAAGAACGAGTAAAAAATATTCGCTCACCTAAGTGAGCGACATTCATGCACTGAGGTTTTCAGTGCAGCTTACACCACCACCGGGCTTTAAACTTAGCTAAACACTTTCTGTTAAATTACAGGTTTTTTTCACGGTGTGCCCTCACCTTTCCCATACCTAGAATAAAAGTGTATTTGCAAGGACTGCTCGTGTGCGTGTCAGAACTGCACAGTCAGCTCGCTGGTAGCGTGCTGGTTATCGCAAAGGACAAAGCTGTTGAAATTTCCTGACTATGAGCTCGGCAGCAATACATGTCTTTGAATCCTGAATCAAAGCTGTCTGGTCTAGGCTACGACTAGTTGCCGTTGCCATCCCTCCTCCCGCCCCTCCCCCTTGCCCCTACCCCTTCCCGAGCTCTTCAACTCTCCCACCGCGCATCGCCTCATCACGTAGGGACACGCTAGCCAACAGTAGGAGCATATTGTGAATCAGCCCACGGAGCCCACGGTTCTCCGGTACTTGATTGTTATCCACACCGTTTTAACAACGTCTTCTCTTGAGAGATGGAATCTTCTTGAAGCAAGGAATTTCCTTAAAGCATGGAATTTCCTTTCAACAGACCATTGGGCTAATCCGAAAAAGGAGAAAAGGAAGAAGCAAACAGATATTTTATGACTTAATGGACCTTCTAACACAGCATTTTACAACTCGTACATGTTCAAAATGGTTTCTAATGGCAAATGTGACATTTTCCAGACATCAAATCAAGCACAAATTGGCCCTATCAGCCCTAAACGGTACCTTTGCTTCTTCTTTCTCCTCTTCTTTTTCGGCTTACCAGAATGGTCTTCTAGCCTTGATTCAAGAAAATTTCCCTTCAGCAACCAATTTTTGTTACTTCATTCAATTTGCATATCGATGTTTCCTTTAACTCAAGGTATTTTTGTCGTCAAACGGAAGAAATTCTATTAAATTGATACATTAATCGTTAGGGGGAGGACCAGGGGCTGAATAGGTGTTGTACAAGCACTGAAACTTTGGGTCATCTGCTTAATTTTTAAAATTATTCCAAAATATGCTGGGCCCTTTCCTCAAGGCACCACGCTCCTTCTGGAAGAGTCTGTAAACCCGGTTATTTTACGGGGAATCCGTATCTGTAATCACCACATTTATAGCGACCGAGTAACTTTTTTATTTTAAGGTATTTCCACATTTCTTGTGCAATTTCTGACGATAACCCAGGCACAATTTCTCAAGTTTTTATTGGTGATTTTTAATCTACTTTTCAAGAGGAATCCGAATCGGTAATCGCCATATCCCGAGCAAGGCGGCGTGAGGCCTAATTTTGGCCAACGGCGGTGCCGCTGGCGTTCACGCCGATGTGGTAGTCGTCGGCGGCGTAACCGGCGTAAACCCAAATAAATTGCACCTTTCAACGATTTCGGGGGTCAGATTTGCCTTCTCATAAAATAGCCTAACGACTTCTAGCTCACCAGAATTTTGTGCCAATTATTCTTCGCAGGATTCGAATAAAATTGTTTACCTGCTATAAAATTTTGAGCTGCTAAGCAGGTTGCCTCACTGTTCATAGGGGGTGTACAGTCATTGTACGCGAAAGGCGTGTAGCACCCAAAACTGTACGCCTTTTGGCATGTAATGACTGCACGCCTTTCGCGTACAGTGACAGCGCATCTTTGTTAGTGGAATTGCCTATGCGGTTGCTGGTGGTGAGTAATGCCATAGGGCCTTCGGCACTCTTACCCTGCTTCGGAAGCTTGAGTAGGGCGTTTGGTTTCTGTGCACCCTCAGCCATTGGCCCGGACTAACTCACGGGTTTTGCCTAGCATTTACACAAAGATGTGCTGTCACTGTACGCGAAAGGCGTGCAGTCATTACATGCCAAAAGGCGTACAGTTTTGGGTGCTACACGCCTTTCGCGTACAATGACTTTACACCCCCAATTAACAGTATACCCACCCGGCGTCCCCAAGTTAGGTTTGAGAATCGAAAATGACCCTTTACACCCTCTACGCCGACGCTACCGCCGATGATATGGTCGGCGACGGCGCGGCGGCGCGCCGACAATTTTTTGCCGGCGACGGCGGCGCGCTGAAAATCGTAGGTGGCGGCGCAACGGTGGCGCAACGGCGGCGCACATGTCTAGGTATTTCCACATGAGACACCTCCCATTGTTGAACTTGTTTATTGTTCAACACTTTCTAGTCCTCTTCTATCAAGTCAAACTATTAAACGTGTGCAAAATTTACGAAAACTTTCCTCGACCCGACCCGACAATTTTTCACATTGTACAAATGTTCTGTTGCTTCTTGCATTTTGTTTTACTGTGCATTTCAAGCGCCTCGTTGTACCTTCCAGGTCATTCATGCGTTTCTCTACCTGTGTGCCAATGACGACAGGTCTCTTGGCTGTTTGGGTCTGCCTATCCATCTCCTTGACACGTATTTCGGTCGCTTCAGGGGCTCTAGGCGTAAGTTGAATAAAATATGTAAACAATTCTTGTTAACTGTGGACGAACCAAAGGTTAGAGATTTTAAGTCAACTAAGGTGTTACAGGCACTTTATTAGCATGCAAAGCAGTCTTCATAGTCTTTCAAATTCGAACTTTGTTTCACCATCAGTCGACCTTCAATCACACAAATATCTGCCGGGTCCCCATTGTGCCATCTATCCAGAGCCTAACAAAATCTTAGCCCTATCTTATCATCCCCAAACACAACCTAACCTATCGAAGATAGGCGGAGAGGCGAAAGTGACAGGGTGTAACACAACCTATCGAGGATCGCCCGAGGAGTGGGTCTTATCAACCCCTAACATAACCTAACGAGGATTGGCGGAGGGGCGTAAGTGACGGGGCCTAACATAACCTGTGGATGGAGGCACACGTTCGTACAAGTTACGGGCGCGGCGGCTCTGGACACGTCAGCCTGGACCCGCCCCTGCAGCGAGTCATAACACGTCATCCTGGATTCGCCACAGTGGGGAGGTATTCGTCAAGAAGTAATGGCCGGTTCTGCCGTGGCAGGGCCAGCCGCAATCAAAAATATAGGGGTCGTTGGGATGCGAGTAGATCTGGTTAGGTACGTCATACATCAGAGGTACGAGGTCAGCCGCGCGAGTTATTGGTACGCGGAGTAATGTCAGGGTGTGGGGCATAATGGCTAAGCAACTGTGTAACACTAGTGCAGCGTCACCATGCATTCTTAGGTGAATTGAGCGTTTCGCATTTGAAATTTCGCGCTGAGCTCCGCGCACCCTCTCGCACCCAGGTGGGCGGGCTGGAGGCGGTAGTTTTCGGGGGTGGAGGGGGTGTGAGTTTCTGGAGGAAGACCCCCAGGCGGTACACCTTGATATCTCAAACCAAAACTGCAAATTGTGATGAAAGCAAGCCACTTGGCACACTTGTTGTCAAGACCCATTAGAACATTTTTGCCCGAAGCTCTCGAAGTTTTATCCCTTAGGATCGGATTTTAGGGGTGGTTTTTACCCCCCACCCCCTAAAATTCAAATTTCTGCGGCTTGGCCGATGTTCGTGATGTCAGTGTCGACTTCTACTGTTTTTGGGGTGCTGATTCCGAATGTGCAACTTGTTTTTCCAAAAAAATGGTTTTTGACCCAATTTGAACCACAAATGTTCAAAAATTTGACGAAATCTACCGTTTTTATTATTTTTCGACCAAAGTCATGTGTAGGGTCGTTTCCGACTAATTCTGGGGTAGGGATTTGGAATTTTTAACTGCCACTGCATTACGGAGTACCATTTTTGATTTTAAGGGGGTGGGGGAGAGGGGCAGGGGGATAATTTTGCAAAATATCGCGACGGGTATCGTTTCCGACTAATGCGAACCAGGAAAAACGAATCTGAGGTTAATTTTAGTGAATTATGTATGTACCAGTTTGTCAAAAGGTAAATTTAAAATGTAATTTTAAAGTTAGAAAAAACAATTTTCAGGTACAACAGTAGAAAATTTTGGCATTAAAGCTGGACGAGCTCAATTTTCCTTCTTCATACACCGCCGTCTCTTCTGGATCCTCCGGTAGAGTCTCCATTACCGCCGGCACTATTAATAGGTGACAAAATTAAACAATATTTATACTACTAGGTAGATGTACGCCAGATCACGTCTCGCGTAACAGGCTTCGCGATATCTCACGAATCACTGTTACACTGCGACGCGCCTGGCATACATCTACCTAGGCCTGCGGCGCTGACACCCGAGTCGGGACGCTCAAAAATGTGCACGAAGATATTCGTCTTCAACGAACATGCACACTTCTGTCCTCCTTGAATAGTAAACGATTATCTGGCCCAAAACGGTGTAAAACAAAGAAGTGAAAGTAATCCGATAAAACGGTCGAAATTCCACAATCATCTGCTAAACCAGAAAGATAAAGGTCTAAGGATTCCCAGTCGGGTGCGGTGACAGGGGTTCAGACTATCAGATATTGTCACACAGCACAATTATCCAAACACCAAACCAACGAAATACTTTAAAATTAAAGGTCGCCCAGAAAGAAATCTATATGTCCCGTCTTATCATCCATTGCAGTTTTGTACGACAAACTGATTTTGTAACGTTCTGGCTAAGTGAGGTTCAGCAGTGGTACACATTATTACAGGGTATTACAGCGTATTACCGGGTATTACTGCGTACTACAGGGTGTTACTGCGTATGACAAGGTATAACCGGGTGTTACTGAGTATTACAGGGTACTACATTAATCGTGTACAGGCTATTACTGAAGTGAATACCCCCTCGGGCGGAAGGGCGGGCCTGCTTGTGTCAACATCAATTTGAATTTCCAGGTCTATATCGCTTTTTTGGCTAGGTTTTGAGAAGATAATGCAGGTGGTCTTTTTGTGGTTCATAAACAGATGGTTATTTGTTAGCCAGGCTGAGAGGCACTCCATCTGAGTATTCAAAATTTTGACGTCACTTCCAAAGTAGAATAA